TTTAAGAAATGTATTTTAATTACATTTAATATCAAGGTTATTTATATTTATCTAGGTTTTATATTGAAGATAAAGTCCAGGGGAATGACCCCAAGAGAAAACTGCATTACTGTGTGTAACTTTACAAAGGTGCAAGATCTCCACAACTTCTTAGTGAAACAAATTTAATGTAGCAGTTCCGAAAAGCTTGCTACCCAGGGCACCGAGGTGAGAGGTAGGTTTCCACGTCCTTTAGGGTGGACTCTGAGCACCAATGGTATTAAAAACACAAAGACCCTCATGGGGTAAAGAATACAAGGCACTTTTACATATAGTACTTATTTATATTCACAACTTTCTGTATTATTCTTAAACAAATGAGGAAAACAAATAAGAAAATGAATTACAGAGTTTAGATCATTTTCCTTAAGATATAAATGCAAAATTGGAATCCATCTGTTCTAGTTAGGACAAGACAGCCTTCAATTTATTCTCCTCTAAACACTGGGCCACTCTAGTTGCCAACAGACACGTCTAGTAGGAGCTAAAATCTAGCCCAGCCCACAGCCCAACTACTCTCTGGAAGGGGTGCCTTTTCCGGACACACAATGGCTATCCGCTTGCCAAGGTGGGCATCTAAGGATCTGTGTTAGCTGAAAGACAGTGCTACTTTCTAAAGCACTCAGAGGCATAATACAGGACTGCTGGAGTCTTGCCTATTTAAGTCCTCACACTTTGAGGGTCCCTAAGTCTCTTCTGTTGATTCACCCAAACACCTATTACTCCATATGAAACAAATTCAGACAACTTGTCTGTTTTTAGAAACATGACATTAGGGAAAACATACTTTAATAATCACGACTCAGGCTGAAAACAAAATAACTTGAAAAAAATGGTGAAAAACCTCTAGTTCTTTCTCTTTCATATCCAGTTCTCGTTTCTTTTTATTTAAGGTATCCAGGTGTTCTTTTTGTTTTTCTTCATAATGTCGTTTCCCTCGTTTTTGGTTATCTACTTCAGAATCAGCAAGGTTTAATTCATCCTGTTTGAACAAAGCCAAAATAAAAGACTGTTTTAAAAAAATTTCCAGCATAGGTATAAAGATAATTAACAACTCAATAAAGTGGCTAGGATTATGCTGTTTGAAGAGGCAAGTGTTATTTTATCGATATGGGTCTGAATACAAGTGAGGAGTTTCCCAAATTAGGAAGTCACCTTAAATTCAAATTCTTATCTGAATTCCCCATATATTAAGGTACTTTCAGTTTTATTTTAATAAACCAGGCATTTTTTGGGGAATCCACATTAGCCTTTAAAAACTTAAAACAATGCAAGTGTTAGGTACTTACAGAGGACACCTGAAAAAGGATACCTGGTTTTAAAAAACGTGGGTCGGGGAAAAAGCAAGGATGTAAAAAAATTTAATTCTGATTTATTTAGTCATATCTGGTATAACTTCACAATTTTGAGCATAAAATACAACTGGAAAGAAGCCATCCCAAGATCACTTTAAAAACAAACAGTAGTAGATATAAGGTAAAGATGCATACTGTAATGCACAGCCACCACTGGAAAAATAAAACAAAGGGTATAGCTAAAAAACTGGGAGAAGAGATAAAGGAACACTCATAATTACTTGGTAATCTCAAAGGAAGGACATGAAGAGGGAAAGTATGAAGAACAACAAAAACAGGACAATTAAAAGCAAACAGTAGCTATTACTTCATGATGAATATAGAATGC